TAATAAAATTATTTAAATAAATATCGTTAAGGCCGATGGGTATATATTAACTTTTTTATCTCGGAACGCACGATGATGGATGATATTATATTATGTAGAATTTTCTGCTTGGATCATATTTACATAAATTGAAAAGAATCGTATCTGTTATTATTATACACAAACCTGGCCGAGATTTGAACTAGAATATACACATACATTGCATCATAAATATATAAGTCTATTTTAGTCGAATCTAAATCTATTTTAAATAGATTTAGATTCGACAGGACTAGTGAATGAACAGGTCCTTTAAATGAACACTTCACCGTTTTCTTTAAATAGTAAGGCATATATTGAATAATACAGCGATGTATTTAGCTTAATACTATGTTTAACTTATAATTAAGTAACACTGTAAATTGTATTATCATAAGAGCATTATTAAATTTGTAAGAATGATAGCTTTTCCCTTATTAATTATCACCATGTTTTTTATCAAATTAACAAATTTGTGATTTTTTTTTCATTTGGTTAAGAACGTATAACGTTTTTAATTTTATCGATAGAGGTTCAAACAAGGTAAGTTACGATGGAGTTATTCTTTTAATACTTATATTTAATTAGTTTTTAACATTTTTCTTATTTTTATAACTATTTAATTTCTGTTTAACCACTGGTGTTTACAATCAACAAAATTCCACTAAATGAATAGTGTTCATTTGCTGGTTTTAATTTTTTTTTTTTTTTTTGTATCCAGTAAATAAACAACTGTTTATTTACTGGGTATACTTACACATAAAACTTTAGTCCTATAAATAAATACTTGACATTTTGAAAAAAAAAATACTGAACTATTTAGGTTTATTAACTTTTTTAATTGTTTTCATTATTCAAATTTTAATTTTATAGTTTAAATATGAGTGAAATAGAATCATCTGAAAAATTAAAATAAGGAAAGAAATACAACAGATTTCAATATCTAGTCATAATATTGATAGTATTATCATTATTAAAATATAATTTTTTTTTATAAGTATCATGTAGGAAGTTATCTGTTAAAAGAAAATGTTGTTGATTTTATAATTATTTTTTATAGTATCTAGTGTGTAATTGTTTAAAAGTTATAAATGATGTGTCTATTATTATTTTAAATAAATATTATATACCTATTCCATTTAAAATTTTAAGAGCTTCTATAATTTTTATTACTATAACATCTCTTACCTTATAAAAAATAGTAAAAAAGTAAAGTAGGTAAAAAAAGAATATGGTAAATATCAGTGTTTATTTACAGGAGTGTTGGTATTCATTTAATGGATAATTTGTTCATTTACTAGGAAAACTTAATTTTTTTCATGATTGATTTTTTAAAAACATGATTTGTTTTTAAAACAATAAAATTGTGAATTTTATGTTGCATAATATTTTTATGTATAATAAAAATATATTTTATGTCCAGAAATTCTGAATTTCATAGAGTTATTTAGTTAAAAGGTTTTTAAATTCTTAGGTGTTCATTCATTGGCTTTGCCTATGTATCACTGAAAACATAATTCTCGTATTCCTTTACTAAAAATCCTGATTCAGTTATTGAAAAAAAAATCCATATGATTATTATTTTATATTGTGGTCTTTAAATATTATTATGTAAACGGACGTTATATTTATGCACAGTCTAAAAATGAACCAACTAATATTTGAGCGATATAATATATATAAATAAAGGTCTGAAAAATGAAATCTATTAAAATTATTTGTCATTCAGCGTGTGCCATATCACACGACGTAAACTGTGAAAGAATATAGTTATTTAAACACAACAGCGGGTTATCATTTATCATACATTTTTTATAAATTAAAAATTAGATTATCAATAAAAGAGATTAATTTGAAGGTTATAATTGATTACATCATGAAAAAAAATTGTAAAACATCACTATAATAAAAAATAATATATATTTTTTACTTAGACAGAAAACTTATGTTGTCAGTTACATAGATTACTTGCTCCGTTGCTGTATAATATCATATATATTACATAAGGTGCATAGAAAATTTTATTTAATATTTAAATGTAATTTCACTGTATACAATTTTCAGATGTTCCTGATACGCTATATTATGTCTAATATACATACTATGTAAAAGGCGTTTACGAGTAGTACTATATAATATAAAAATATATTGAAATTATATTTATATATAAGTTTTGTACTATGCAAATTTTTGATTGATTTTTGTGGCACACAACAATAAATCAAAAATGAGAAATCGTTGACATGACTTGAGATTACACCTTGAGTATATACTGCAGTTTGTTTTTAATTATTATCGTAATCAATTTGAGGATAGGCAAAATCGAGGGGTGGTCGGAAATGCAACGTACCAGGAAATTAATCCGATTCAAGATTATGATAATAAAAACATCGCGGCACGGCGGATGTCATTGAACACACACGCTCACACTGCGGGCACACGACAGACGTCAGTGATAATAACACCCCTTCCCAACCATTCTCCACGACTACCTATTCAAAAACGATTTCACCCCAAGTGAATACGCACAACAGCCGCGGTGAAGATTTTTACAAATATATTATGCACGTTATAACCGCGGGTACACATCATTATAATATATTATGTGTATTGTAAACGGCTACTGCAACGGTCGTCGACATATATTATACTTACAAAACATTAGAAATATATTAATATATTACATATCAAGCATGTTCATCCCTAATTGTTTCTTTACATTTATGAATTTATCAAAATCCTAAATTCTCACATATTTGAAGATTATATTTTAAAATACTTAATTTTTTTATACTATTTAAGGAATATTTTGTAGCAATATAATCGTATTTTGTCAAAAAAACCAACACATTTTTTTTTTAAATTGTTAAACAGGCGATTTTTTTAAAAATGTTGATGTATTTAAATTGAAGTTCAAACAAGTAGTTTTTGAATAATTGTTTAATTTTGTATACTAAAAATAATAGATTTATGAAAATATAGGTTTAAAAACATTATTATATTATTAATTATAGTAATTAATATTTATCTATTAATATTTTATAATAATTGTAAAAACTGTAGTGATGGTAATAAGTATCTGCTAGATTAAATATTACATACATTTGATATTTTTATAAAATCATTTTAAGGAGTATTATCTTTGATAGCTTAATACATTTTAATAACTCAGAAACTATTCATTTGAATTTAAAAAACAGGAATATATTTACCTAACACCAGTTAATAACGATTTTGTTTTGTCATTAAAAAAGGTTATATTTCAAAAGTTATATTTTGATAATAACGCATTATATAATATTATAATAATTTTTAATAATAAATTACACTTCTAGAATAAGATTAACATAACTCAAAATTTATAGTTTTGAGAAAAGCTGTATAAAGTTTAAAACTAAGATGTATTAAAGAGTTCTTTACCTATACATTTGAAAATGCATATGTAATGTTTTAAAACATTTGAATACTAATAAGAATGCTTTACAATATATAACTTCTTTAAATATTATGAAATACGTTTTTGAACTTAAAGGTCAAACCATCGTCATTTGCAACTTTTTTAGAAGATGCGAGACTGGAGTATTTCATATAACAGCTGTAATATCACAATTTACGAAATTTGATATTATTATATTTAAATATTATATTGTTATCCATTCTATATAATACATGAAAATTACTTTTTATTTAGCACAAAAACATCAAACAACAAATTGAAATAAAGTAATCTAAAATTTTGATTTTGGCGATTTATTGGATAAATTAAAAAATGTATACTATCATAATTTAAATACAGCTCAATAGCCGCTTTGAAAATAAGTTAAAAATTGAATGTAGATATAGATAATGCGTTACTTTGATCAAAAGTAACATGTATAGAGGGTTATAACGTTTTATTTTTAATAAAACCTTTTTATTTTATAATTTAAAAGTTTCAACAGCCAATGAAATGTTATATTAAGTTAGGGAATATTAAGGTATACCCAATAGCATTATATAGTAGCATTAGTAACATAACTAAAATACTTTCATAACATATTTGTATAAAGTACACAGTGTTGTAATCAGATTTTTAATGTTTTTACAAATAGAAAAGAGTGGTGCAAAAAAATTTCGAAGGATGTTAATCCACTTATTTAAATTTAAAAATTTAAATACTTTCAACGTTATAACTTATAACAAATTAATAGTATATAACTAAAATATTTTCAAAAATGTTATTATTTTTTGAACGATAAGTATTTTTATATAAAAAAAAAGACAATATCTATATTGCGTTTGATATAAGTTCCTATATGTTTTTGGAACTACTCAATAAAAGACTTAATTTTTGACATTATATCAATGCCCGTAACAGTAGATATTATTATATATTTTTACTAATATTGTACGTGCAGTCAATGGATATAAATTAATGATAATAATAATAATATCACATATTCAGTATTTAAAACATTGGATTTAGTGTTTAGAGTACCTACTACTTATTGTTACTACTACTCATACCTTTATATATTTATAAAAGTGTTATTGTTAAATAATTCATCAGTTTACGCTATACAATCAAACAATATCATTGAGTACTATACGTCTGTAAGTGTTTGAAAATCGATTGCTCTTTCGTGCGTTAAAAGCTGTCACGTACACCGGTCACAATATGATGTGTAGAGCACCACTTGTTCTCAAAACACTAATATCAAGGGTGTTTTTGTCATCAGAATCATCACACTCCATCCCTCAACAAAGTTTGAAACTTTATAATATGACATATTGGAAACATGTGTTTCTTCATAAAACTATGTACATGTTATATATTCTAATGTGTGTATGTAACTATGTAAGGTAAAATAATATAATGTTGTATAACCGAGTACAAACAGCAATACACGTTTGATTATGAACTTTTTAAAACTGTGTAAACTCGTTCAAATACTGAAGTGATTTTTAAAAAAAAGCAATAAAAATGAAACAAGTTTTCTTACCGGTTTTTACTTGATGCTTGAGAGCTAGACTGCAATCATCAACTAAATTTTGCAATGACACACCTTCGTTGGGAATATCTAAGTTCAGCAGTCGTAACATCTCTTCGGGGTGCTTAAAATGCAATACTTTTTCGTCTCTATTATTAACATCGTTAATGTAATCTACTAAGATATCAACGACTTTTAAAAGAAACTCTCTGGTTGGCGCTTGTCCTGATAAATTATGAGGCAATAAATCTGAAAAAAAAATTACGCACATTCTTAAATCTTTTAAAATTCAATAAAAAAAATATATATTTAAAGAAAACTTCAACTGATGTTAAACTACAAAGAAGTTTAAAAAATAAAAAGCAATAAAATATTTTAATGATATACGCATCATAAACGTTATAAACTTAATAATTACTTAATCGACTTAAAAAAAAAAAAAAAAAAATAAATAAAATTTTTTACTGTTACTAATATTATTAAAGTAATCTCAAATAGTATACAAATTATGAGATAAATATTTGTATTTAAATTTTTATATTGTTACAGTTAAACTAAAAATTTTAATTAAAAAGTTTTATCCTATAAAATGATCTAAATATTTCCTTCGATAAAATATTTTTTGAAAGAAGTTTATATCTTAGATTTAATGTTATAAATTGTTACTATGAACTAAATCAAATGTGCGCTTATAAAACAATAATATTATTCAACATAATTCATAGAAACACAGTAGAAGGCCAATTTTATTTTGAATGTAAAAAATGTTAAACAACCTTATTATCAACTTTTTTTATTTAAAATCAAATATCGAAATCTATGATATTCAAATAATGCCATATAATTCAAATCAAATCGTTAATAAATCAAATTATTTATGGCTTATATTATTATTACATATTGTTGTTGTTTTCCATTTCCTCTATTAATACACGACACATACTACAAGAGAAACATCATTGGATTTTCATAAACCATTATTTTACCAAGAACGGCGATACAATAGAACCCACTTTGGGCAGGGCTTATGGGTTCAAATCCAATAATCCATGTCATTTTTGCCGGTATTGTGTCGAGCGAAAATCAACGACGTACGCCGGATATTAAAATGTGTGACCAACCGTAAAATAGGAATCTTTCATCCCCCATTTGTTGCGAAAAACATGTAACTTTTTTTATTATTATTACTTTTTTTTCTTCTTTCAAAAGTCTAATTGAATCGAAACCGACCACCGAAGGCTAAGTTATTGTTGATAATCGGAAATAACCTATACAAGTAAGGTAGAGTGCGTTTCAATGGATTTCGATACGCGTATATAATAGTTATCAAGTTATTTGGATATTGAATTGTATGTGTACCGAAAGCATCATGACCCGATTGAAAAGCTTTTCACTTGAAACTACGCATTATTTGACCGTGTTATCAATTACAACCCGACGAAGAATTATATTTAAGAATTGTGATTAAAGTTTATGGATTTAAATTTATTAATAGTTTTTAGAGGTATCTATATAATTATAGTGCAAATAATTTATTTTTATTAACTTACACGATTATAATTTTATTTCAAAATAAATTGTTTAAAATTAAAATTTTTTTTCAAAATAATTATGTCTTGAGCTATGTATAGTATTTTACAATAGATAAACAATATTTTAAATTACTTTAGTTAAATATAATTCGAGAACATCCAAATTTTAAATTAGTAATAATATATTAATGTAGAGTAAAATAATTGTCAACGACACTTGCAAACCGTAGTTAGGTTACAAGCACAGATTCTGTATTTGAGCGTTAATATAACAACTGTGCTTGTCGGCCTGTATTTTGTATTGTATAATAATGGAGAAGATTCATTAATATTTATCATATTCGTGCTGTGTTAGCTGTCAGGGCTCAAAAACATTGCTTGAATACAAATTATATATCATTTGAACAAAACAGTGTTAGTAAATACAACGTTGACAATTAAATTACACAATTATTTGCATACACCAAAATGTTTGCTTGTGTACGTATATAATTTTATTTTTACTAAAAAACTGGTTTTAAATAAAAATTAAAATATTTGACTGAAAAGAACTTCTTTTCTGAAAGAGAGAATTTAGCTACCATAAAAATGTTTCTATTGTATATATTTTTCCGTTTACATTCTTAGTATAATATATAGGCTAAGCAAGAGAAATTGAATTTTGTTTTTCTGTTTAAACGAATAATTTAATTTTAAATTTGTTAAAAGATAATGCTGACATAAATTACAATTAGCTGTTACTTTATTCTGGTAGAATGAACATTGCATTGTTTTAGCTTTATAGTTATGGCAATAAATTTCTGCTTGGAGTTATACGCGATCGTATGAAATAATATTCTGGTTTTATTTAAAAATATAAATAAGTAATTTGGACAGAAAGCATAGGAGTTGACTAGGTAATTAAAATGTATTGTATGGTCGTTCGTAAGGTATTTTAATACAATAGTTTAATACCTATTATAATATTTTGGCTGTTATACAATATTCATTATACACTACTGTAATAACCCATAATATGATGAAATAATATTATACGTACTATGCAGCTAATTGCACATATTTTATAAATTTTAATTAACAACTGTTACTATTTTTTGATTCGTGAACGTTAAATGAAAAATTTAACATCAATATTTGTTTTAATGTAAATATTTTAAATATGCATTCTATAATGTATAACTACTATAATAAAATTATGAAGTTGTCTATAGACCTATTATACATAAAAAAAAGTTATATTAGTTAATTTAAATACATAAGGATAGGTATTAGGTATAGTATCATAACCAATGTTTTAGACATATACTAAAATTATAACTTAAAAATATTATTATAATGAAAAACACTATCTCAAAATTGATTTTCTTTATCAAATTTTGAAAAAATTAATTCTCATGTTAATTCTTCTTATAAAAGATTGATGAGTTTGAATTGACAAATGTCATTTGTTTTGTTAATATTCTATTTATTAAAACTATATACTTAAAAGATAGATTTATTTTTGAAAATTTGGTGATCGTTAGCAGGTATCTATTATTTTTCATAAATTCTAATGGACGCATAGAGAGTAAAACCCATACAATATGTTCACTAGACATTATTGTGTGTACGTTTAAAACTTTCCTTGAAAAATGACCCGTATCAAACTGAGTAGAACTACCGAATATTATGGCGAAAAATATAAAATCATTTGTCGATGTTATTCATAAGACATATTACCTATACCTACTGCTGTATAATAATAATATTATTGTTGTATTTTCGCGGTAGTTGTCGGTCGCTAAAACCGCCACCGCGGACCATCAATCTATTCGCCGTCGGCGGGTGATCGGCGCGGTGGCGCGGTGGAAGTTTAACCATATAAGCGAATTATTCGGAAAAACAATGAGCCGAGTCAACCCGTCAGCCACCTGTGCCAAAAGGCAGAATTAATTAGCCTCTCGCCCTAGTGTACGCGGGTAACGGTGTATCGGCGATGGGACGGCGGCGGTGAGGGGGGCAAGATTTTATTAATGACGGCCGCCTGTTTGTAACGTCAGCTGCAACCAATGGGCCCTTTATGGTAACCGCCGCCCGTAAATGCCACTTCTGCGACACGAGCGCGGGCGCGCACGCGAGCGCTGCTCACCCGTCTGCCCTGCGTCCCACCATTATAAATCACGCAGCCGATTGTTTGGTATTATATACGGGCTGAATTTAACAACCTCCACCACCGCCCCTCCGCGACACCGCAGCCACACCTCCACAAAGCACTTGCACGCACACTCCCGGTCGAGACGCTCGCAAGTACGTTTATTTATCAAACACTATCGGTGGTGATGCGCGGTGGAAGAATATTATTACGAGCGTACTTAACTCGACGTCGGCGTAGCGACTACGAGTGCGGTCGAGGTATATACTCATCTTTGGTTAAAAAAAATAGCATATTATATTTTAATAGTGTAAAGACTATGCAGGTACTATCGCGGGTGTTGTGTACGCCCATAGTATATTAAAATAAGGCATATATAATTTTGGCATGATTAAGCATGAGCTGGATACTTATGAAAAAATATCCAAACACAACACATATTATCATACAGAATAGATGTATCAATTTTCATTCAAAAACTAGACTCAAAAAATACAAAATACAAGATACTTGGTAAACTAGGTACATTTTTTAGATATTATAGTAATGAGTTTTTTTTTTGTTAAAATTTAAAATACTTCAATATTATTTACTTATCTTAGAAGAATGAATAATGGGTTCTAGAACTCAATTTTCCCTTACCCATTAATCCAAACTTACGTCTTACATGTATCTAAACTGCCTACATATATACCATTATTTAATCTATGATTTATTTTTGTAATGAATTCATAATGATTTGTTGCTACAAGTGTATAATTTTATACTTAAACGAAATTTTGAGGACAATTTAACAAAAAATAATGTAAATAATATGTACGATTTCATTAAGTATATTATAACAATTATATATTAATTTTTGATCGATATCTATTTGACTAATATTTGTGGAATACAATAAAACGGATAGGACTAACCGTCAACTGTGATTGAGGGATGATGTTGTATTGTAATGTCGATACCTGATATTAAAATAACTATATTTATAATGTTAAAAGTTTGATACCGATACAATAAATATAATAAATCGTTATATTTTAAAAACAACAATTGTGGTATTCAATATTTTTAATGAAAATAATTTTAATTAAATTCAAAAAAATGTTAACGTACAATGTGCAAAAAATTAATTACACGCTTGATATGTACTATGTAATAATATAATATATTATGTTTTATATAAAATACATATTTACTACCCACATGTTTTTTTTATCCATGGTAAACTTTGTTTTTGTTGTAACTATGCTTAATATGGACAAAAATACATAAATATTCCTTTGGAATGTACGTGCATCATATGACATTTTTATTTTTAATAACAATATAAATTTATATTACTTACTAAAAAGTCATACATAATGACCAAACAAGTTTTAGAATAATAAAATAATACTCGTTTGTTAAGCGTTTTATGAACGTTTGGTTAAAAATAAAAACACATTAAATGGGTACTTTTACTTTTTTTTCTTTTTTGCTTTATTATAATTATATTATGCATCATAACAGACCGATTGAATTTTATAGGTAAATAATAATTATAATAATTAAATTTGAATGTTCAATAGATAATAAACTTAAATAAA